TTCACTGTGTTAACCAGGATGGTCTCGATTTCCTGACCTCGTGATCTGCCCGTCTCGGCCTCCCAAAGTGCTGGGATTGTTACAGGCTTGAGCCATCGCACCTGGCCTCACATTCTGTTTCTATTGGACAGCACCGACATAAATTATTATTATTTTATGACTGTGCCTATGCTACCAATATTACCATTTTTTCTGCCTCTCAGGTATATCTGGGTTTGGTTTTGTTTTTATCCCTGCTTACTATAAAAGTAATTTTTGTTCATTGAAGAAAAAAAATCACAAAAGAATAAAAATTGTCCATAATTCCCAACAGATAGAGTTCACTGCTAAGAAAACTTGGAGTATGTCCTATGTCCTTCCAGTTTTTTTTTTTTTTTTTTTTTTTTTTTTTAAGACAGAGTCTTACTCTGTCACCCAGGCTGGAATGCAATTGGGGGATCTTGGCTCACTGCAGCCTCCGCCTCCTGGGTTCAAGCAATTCTCCTGCCTCAGCCTCCCAAGTAGCTTGGATTACAGGCGTGAGCCACCATGCCCAGCCTCTTTTTTCTTTTTAAGATGGAGTCTTGCTCTGTCACCCAGGCCAGAGTACAATGGTGCCATCTCAGCTCATTGCAACCTCCACCTTCCTCTTGCCTCAGTCTCCCGAGTAACTGGGATTACAGGCGCCCACCACTACCCCCGGCTAATTTTTGTATTTTTAGTAGAGATGGAGTTTTATCATGTTGGCCAGGCTGGTCTCGAACTCCCAACCTCAACTGCTCTGCCCGCCTAGGCCTCCCAAAGTGCTGGGATTACAGGTGTGAGCCACCACGCCCGGCTTCTTTTTCTCCTTTTTCTTTTGGTGCATATACTCTGATACCTAATTCTTCAGCTTCTTTGTGATGACACAGGATGCATCTGAGGTTCTCAGTTTCCTCTGTTGATATTCCCCCAGTGCCTGTCCCCTCCTCCCTTGTACACATCACTATCTGGGCTTTGCAAATATGATCTGATGGCTGTGTGGCCTTCTGGGCCTCAGTGCACCTGGCGTGGTGATCAGTAGTGAGGACCCTGTGAGACCCTGCCTCCCGTGCTCTGACCCAGCACTGCCTCTCCTGTGGACCCCAGTCCCAGCCCTGAAAGGCGGCAGCCAGGGTCAGAGGTCAAGAGCCAGGACTCTGGAACCAGAGGGCCTGGATCCAATTCCAACTCTGCTGTCAACTTCTGTGTGACCCTGGGCAAGTCACTGCACCTCCCTGGGCCTAATTCATCATCCTTCGTGTGAAACCCTTGAGGTCTGATGCGTTTTGGCATTCTGATATTAGAAACATAATAATAGTTACCATAGGTTTTATAACATCTTAGTGATCTTGAAACATGGGAATTTCTAGAATGAAATGTTTGGATAGTCACGAGTGGGATCAATAAAAGCTTTGGTTTCATGTGACCGTGCGCGGTGGCTCACACCGGTAATCCCAGCACTTTGGAAGGCCAAGCTGGGTGGATCATCTGAGGCCAGGAGTTCGAGACCAGCCTGGCCAACATGGCAAAACCCCGTCTTTACTAAAAATACAAAAAAATTAGCCGGGTGTGGTGGCGGGCACCTGTAGTCCCAGCTACTCGGGAGGCTGAGGCAGGAGAATGGCGTGAACCTGGGAGGCGCAGCTTGCAGTGAGCCGAGATTGTGCCACTGCACTCCAGCCTGGGCAACAGAGCCAGACTCCATCTCAAAAAAAAAAAAAAAAAGAGTTACTACCCACAAAGCATTTAGAGCAGTGTCTGGCATCAAAGACTTGTTCAATGTGTCTTAGTTGCTGGTATTAGTATTTTTATTTTTTATTATTTATTTATTTATTTATTTATTTATTTTTGGGACGGCGTCTCCCTCTGTCACGCAGGCTGGAGTGCAGTGGCATGATCACAGTTCGCTGCAGCCTTGACCTCCTGGGCTCAAGCGATCCTCCCATCTTAGCCTTCTGAGTAGCTGGGACCACAGGTGCACACCACCACACAGGGCTAATTTTTGTATTTATTTTTAGAGACCGGGGTCTTGCTTTGTTGACCAGGATTGTCTTCAACTCCTGGGCTCAAGTGATCCTCCCACCTCAGCCTCCCAAAGTACTGGGATTACTGGTGTGAACCACCATGCCCAGTCTTATTTTTTTCATTTTTAAAACTAATGCGTAGTGGCCGAGCAAGGTGGTTCATGCCTGTAATATCACAGCACTTTGGGAGGCCAAGGCAGGCAGATCACTTGAGATCGGGAGTTCAAGACCAGCCTGGCCAACATGGTAAAACCCCATCTCTACTAAAAATACAAAATTGGCCGGGCACGGTGGCTCACGCTTGTAATCCCAGCACTTTGGGAGGCCGAGGCGGGTGGATCACGAGGTCAGGAGATCGAGACCAGCCTGGCCAACATGGTGAAACCCCGTCTCTACTAAAAATACAAAAATTAGCCAGGCTTGGTGGCACACGCCTGTAATCCCAGCTACTCGGGAGACTGAGGCAGGATAATCGCTAGAACCCGGCAGGCGGAGATGGCAGTGAGCCGAGATTGTGCGACTGCACTCCAGCCTGGGTGACAGAGCAAGACTCTGTCTCAAAAATAAAATAAAATAATGTATCACTGGCATGGAATAAAATACCCTCATTTTAAGTGTAGTTTGGGGAGTCCTAACAGTCGCCTTCCGTCATGTAACCACCATGCCAATGTAGCACGTGTCAGTCACCCTAGAAAGCTCTCTCACACCCTTCCCTGTCTGCCCCAGACACCTCACCCGCCCACACACGCAGAGACACCCACTTAGAACACCCAGCGCACAGTGTGGACGGATCCACCGTGCCAGCTCCTTTGGGTTCGGCTTCTTTTGCTCAGCCTCACCCCGGAGAGATTGTTCCAGGGGTTCACAGTAGCCAGGTCCCTTTTGTGGCTGAGCCGCAGCATCCTCCACACGGCCACACCTCGCAGTGTTTGTCCACTCACCTGCTGATTATCATTTGGGCCGCCTCCAGCTTAGGCAGTCCAGAGAAAAAAAATGCTGTGAACACCCACGTAGAAGCCGTTGCGTGGACATCTGCCTTCATTTCTCTTGAGGAAATACCCAGGAATGGAACAGCCAGGTTGGATGGCCACTCCAGTTTTAACTTTTTTTTCAGAAGTTTTTTCCTCAATCCCAAAATTCTTGTTTTTACATTTCTTTTTAAATTCTTTTTTGTAGAGACAAGGTCTCCCAATGTTGCCCAGACTGGCCTCAAGCTTCTGGGCTCAGGTGATCCTCTCACCTTGGCCTCCCAAAGTGCTGGGATTATAGACATGAGCCACTGTGCCTGGCCCCCCCAATTTTTTTTTTTTTTTTTTAGATGGAGTCTCACTCTGTCACCCAGACTGGAGTGCAGTGGCACGATCTCAGCTCACTGCAACCTCTGCCTCCCAGGTTCAAACAATTCTCCTGCCTCAGCCTCCCAAGTAACTGGGATTACAGGCACGCGCCACCACGCCCAGCTAATTTTTGTATTTTTAGTAGAGATGGGGTTTCACCATGTTGGCCAGGCTGGTCTTGAACTCCTGACCTCAGGTGATCTACCCACTGCAGCCTCCCAAAGTGCTGGCATACAGGTGTGAGCCACCACGCCTGGTCATCCCCAAAATTCTTGAATCCAGTTTTAACTTTGAAAGTAACTATCTTTTTTTCGTTTTCTTGTTTGTTTGTACGTTTTTCATTCATTCTTTCTTTCTTTCTTTCTTTTTTTTTTTTTTTTTTTTTTTTTTTTTTTTTTTTTTTTTTT